CTGGTTACCCTGCCTGCCCCCAAATACACTGATTACCTTGAAGTAATCTTGATGTGCCTACCCAGCACCTGCAGCCCGTTTCCTCCCTGCGGACTCCTACCTGTTACCTAATGACAGAGGAGCTATGCGTGGGTGCTGCCTCCCAGCAATGACAACCTTCACCACCCACTTCCTGTGTTGACTTGTGCAGTTGGGTCCCTGTTGCCTGAGTGAGCTGTGAACATTTATACTACTTCCCACTACCGTCTGAAACTCAGTTTCCACATCTGTAATGTGGTAATACCAATATCTAACACTTACAGACGGTTCAGAGGATGAGAGGAAATGATAGTGTAAAGAACTTAGCTCAGCTCATGGAACATAGTAAGTACCTGATAAACAGCCCGTGAAGAGTTCAGGCATAGTTTTCTATCCCTAGCAAAGCAGTCTCTTCTAGAAGGTTGTGTGATCTTATATAGCTGCAGATTCGGGTTAAATATAATTAAATGTAAAGAATAAGTGAAGTATTTTTTTTTWAAAAAAAAGAATAAGTACAAAGCCAGGTGAGGTGGCATACACCTGTAATCCCAGTGGCTTGGGAGGCTGAAGCAGGAGGATTGTGAGTTGAGAGCCAGACTCAGCAACTTAACAAGGCCTTAAACAATTCAGCAAGACCCTGTTTCAAAATAAAAAGGGCTGGGGATGTGACTCAGTGGTTAAGTGCCTCTGGGTTCAATCCTTGGCGCAAACACACACACACACACACACAAAAAAAAAAAAAACCTAATAAGTGAAATATGAAAGTTTAGTAAAGCTAATTTTAAAAATTGTAAGGTGTAGAGGCTGGGGATTGTAGCTTAGTGGGAGAGTACTTACCTAGCACATATGAGGCACTGGGTTTGATCCTCAGCACCACAAAAAATAAATAAATAAAGGTATTGTGTTCATCTACAACCAAAAAAATATTTTTTTAAAAAAAAATTATAATATGGGCTAGGGTTTTGGCTCGGTAGAAGAATGCTTGCCTAGCATGTGTGGGGCACTAGGTTCGATTCTCAGCACCAAATAAATAAATAGTGTCCATCTGTAGCTAAAAAATACATATATTTTTTTAATTGTAAGGTGAGGCCAGGTGCGGTGGAGCACGCCTGTAATCCCAGCAGCTCGGGAGGCTGAGGCAGGAGAATCAAAGCCAGCCTCAGTCACTTAGTGAGGCGCTAAGCAACTCAATGAGACCCTGTCTCTAAATAAAATGCAAAAAGGACTGAGGATGTGACTCAGTGGTTGAGTGCCCCTGAGTTCAATCCCTGATACCAAAAAAAAAAAAAATTTGTCAGTTGTATATATTGGTAAGTGCTGTGTGAATGTTATTATGAGTCTCTCTGGGGGCCTAGAGGGACACCCCACTCTTCCTGAGGCTGATGAGGTAGTAACTTGTGGAGTTCTGTTCTGCATTGTTGAAACAGAGAAAGAAGAGAGCAAGGTCTCTGCCCACATCAAAGGAGAGCATACCAGGTTAAAGAAAGGAACAGGGTAAAATCCCAAACCATCCCTACAGCAGCACCTCAAACCTCTGTGGAATGGTTGAATTTTTCTGAAGACCCAAGTGATTATTATATCTAATATCTAGAACAATTAGAAATTTAATATAACCTCTGAACAGCAAAGTATAATGACAGAAAACTCCACTGAGCTGATCCCAAGCAGCCACCCACACCAGACACAAACCCAGTCTTGGCAAAGCCACCCATGGTCGTTTCAATGGGAAGCCTAGAACACAATTCAGCCTCGGTGAAGCTGCTCACCAAGCAGGTGGTGGGATCCCACATAGATGAAACATAAATAGCAAACAAACAGAATTTGGGCTGCCTCACCTGGAAGGATCCCACCCCATCTGATTGTCACACACAGGAGGAAGCCCAGCCATTGCATCTTTTAAGTCAGGATTGTAGCTTAGGCATTGCCCTCTCTACTTTGGGGAAGCTAGTCTGGCTTTATGAGTTTGAAGATCATATGATCAAGTGTTAGTCAGCTTTCTGTAACTGTAACAAATGCTCCAAATCGACTGCTTATAAAGAGGGAAGTTTGGGGCTGGGGATGTGGCTCAAGCGGTAGCGCGCTCGTCTCGCATGCGTGCGACCCGGGTTCGATCCTCAGCACCACATACCAACAAAGATGTTGTGTCCGCCGAGAACTAAAAAAAAATAAATATTAAAAAAAAAAAAATAAAAAAAAAAATAAAGAGGGAAGTTTGCCAAGCATGGTGGGGCATCTCTGTAATCTCAGTGACTCAAGAGGCTGAGCCAAGAGGATTGTAAATTTGAGGCCCCCTTTAGCAACTTGGTGAGACATTATAAATAAACTATAAAATAAAAATAAATAGAGAGAGAGAAAAAGAAAATAGTAGGTACCTAATGACATGAAGCAGGGTTTGACTTTGACTTTGTCCTGTTAACGTTTTCTATTAGGACTTGGATGGACCAAAGATATCTTTTGAATGCTGTCATCACATCACTAGATGACTGAATCAAGGTCATAAAAGTCTCCCTCTGAAACATTGAGCTAAAACCACACAAATGAGAGCCATTGACATTGTTGTCAAGGGGAGCGGGAATCCACAGAAAAAATCATGTGAATTGCAGTTATATAAATATGGAGTCTTAACAAGGAAACCCATACCTTCCTAGAGTTTATCTTAGAGGATACCTGGACCATGACCCAGAAGTCACTCAGAGACCAAAGAATAGGCTGACGAGGAGCCTAGAAACCAAGTGTTTGAAGAATAGTTGAAGGCAGTTGGGAGGGGGGTTTTGGGGGACTGAGAAGATGCACAGGCATGTGATATCTGTCTTCAGAGGCACTTATTGGAAGGGGAGCTTTATGATCTGGACCAAGGCACAGCCAGGACCCCTGGGGATGAGTTACAGGAAGACAAATTTTGACTCAGCTTGAGGAATAAGTTTCTAATCATTCAACCATCCTACATTGAATCATATCTCTTGAAAGGAGCAAATTTCTCACCCCCTCCCTGTGATGTTTGTCCTATACTGAGTGATCATCTGATGAGGATGCAGTGACAAGAATCTTATATTTGCTGAGGGTGGGGGTGGCGTGAAGATGGTCTGATTTGTCCTTCAGATCGAAAGTCTCTTTTGATTCCATGAGTCTCTATGCTGCATCCTTCCTGATCTATGTACTTACAGTAGCAAAAGCTACGTTGAATATGCTGATGTTCTGGAGGGGCAGGAGCATGGTGGGTGGTGTCGACAGGATGAGGAGGCCCAGAAAGCTTAGGACCCTGGAAACTTGGAGGCACTTCCTCCCAGCAGGTTTTAGGACTGGAAGTTCTGGAGGGGATCATTGACTCCTTGTCCTAGTATTCTTACTCCTCAACAGCAGTTTTTTTCTGTTGTTTTTTTTTTGTCCTGGGGGTTGAACCCAGGGGTGCTTTCCCACTGAGCCCCTTTTCATTTTTTATTTTGCAACAGGGTCTTACTAAGTTGCTAAGGCTGGCCTTGAACTTGTGGTCCTCCTGCCTCAGCCTGCTAAATCACAGGAATTGTAGGCATGCACCACCACCCTGGGCTTGTAAAGCAGTATTTAAGGGGAGTGAATGGAGAAKGGAAGGAGAACAACCGCAGACAGCAAGAAGCTAGAAATTACAGCACCGAAACCCGAAAAAGACGCATGTGTTGGGGGTGAGGTGGGACCAGAAACAAGGAGTGTAAGCAAGAAAAGGGGATGATGAACATGGAGGAGAGGGTGAGAGAAGACATTGGAAAAGGTAGGATCTCTCAATGAGATTTGGCTAGAAGAGGATGATAACGGGGGGGGGGGGGGCAAAGAAACAGTATACCCTGTGCAGGTCCCTCTGGGAACAGACATCAGTTTTACACCAGTGTGGACTAACACATCCACGCATGAGGACCCTCTCATGGAAGAAAAACCACAAAAAAGAGACCTGGAGGGAAATTGGATCCACAGAAGAAGAGGCCCAGGCCCACAGCAGGGCAGAGCCAGGGTTTCCTGGAGCCTTTCAGAGCAGCCTGTGGAGCAGAGAAGTGCTGAATGTGGAGTTGGGACTACAGTCTCAGCTCTGCTGCTGGTTAGCTGCAGGATCCTGGGTAAGTTACTCCCCCTCTCTGGGCCACAGGGTCCTCTTGAAGAAAACCCAGGGATTGAACTCCGACGTCCTCTCAAGCCAGGTAGGCTATGATGTTAATGATTTATATGCCAACCAAGTTCATCCATAGGTAGAACATGGTTATTTGAGAATCAGAAAATGACCCCGTGACTATGTTGAAGCTGTGCTTTCCTTTGGTAATTTCACCTTTGCCTTCTAGTACTGTTTTAGGGTTGTTCCCTTTGAAAAATCCTAACCTATCTCTTCCAAACTTGAGCTGGCAAGAGAAGGGTGTTTGCCCCTGACTGGGCAAAAGGATGGTGGCATATAGGTTAACTGAGTGCCCTGGTTTGCCCAGGACTCAGGGGTTCCCCAGGACCAGGGGCTTTCAGTCCTGGGCAAGCAGAGATGGTTGGTCACCATGGTGGTAAGAAAGGTGAAAAGGGTCTAGAGGTAGCTTGGAGGACAGGTGGTTGGAAGGTCGCTTCTCCTACTGCTTTTCCTTGGGGAGTTTCCCTTATCAGCTGTGGTTTTTGACACAAGGCACAAGTCGCTTCAGAGGTGCAGGGACAGAAGCGAGAGACAGCCTTCTCGCCAGTCCCAAGCCCCAGTTGAGACTACAGTTGCCAGGAAAGACGTTGAAATGCTTGATGAGCACTGGTGCTGTGGGGGATTTTCCCTTTTTATTCAAAAAAACAGAAAAGACCCAGTGGAAAAAAAAAAAAAAAGACGATTGGTGAGTGGTAAGGCAGGCAGCGGGCCGTAGGCAGCCCCAGGAGACTGCGTGCGAGTCATTTGTTTAAATTTGCAGCTGACGCCTGCCACCTCTCCATAGGCACCAGACGCAGAGCCTCTCAGCATCAGTCAGTGACCAGCGTGGTGACGCACAGCTGCAGCCATGAACTACCCCCTGGCCCTCGACATGGACCTCACAAACTACAACCTGGGAGACCTGGTGAGTAGGGGCAGGCTGCTCTCTGTTGCCCAGGCCCTACTTGGAATTCTAAATATTCTATGCCAGAGTCTAAGGGAGAGAGGACAACTTGGGAGTCCCCTTCTACTGTAGATCTACAGAATCTAGACAGGTCCATCAGCTCTTGCCTTTTAAGGTTTTATTTCCCATTCCAGTGGATAAGTAAACTTGCTGCCCTTGATGGACATCTTTTAGAAGGAGTTGGAAGACCCAGGTCCAGGCCCGGCAGCTTCCCCTGACTTGCTATATGACCAGGGACCCAGGACTCTGCCTCTCCATTCTCAATACCAAATCCTCCCCTCACCTCTTTGGGCTGGAAGAAGGGACTAGACAGGAAAGCACTTTGGAGGTTGTCCTTGTGTTGGGAGGCTGGCACTGCTACACGATCAATCAATCAATGTAGAGCTGTTCATCTCTTGCTATATGATTATATCATCAGAGCATGACATTCTATGTTGGATGGAGAAGTGGAAGACTTAATCTTTGCCCTCAAATGACTTACGGCCCAGCCAAGAAGAAAGTAACCTTTGGAATCTATGAGACAATGATTATGTTCTAAACCCAAGGAAGCATGAGACCAGATGGTAGCAAGGGAGAGGATTCCCGGGGCCAGAGTTGGGGAATAGGGGTTGCAGAGTTGGGGAGAGAGCCCTGTGTGAATTCTATMAATGTCTTATAGAGCATGTTGTAGCCTTCTGCAAAGAACTAGAATCTCTAGAGGTAAGGTATTCTTGGAAGGGTTTCTTAGGTAGGCTAAAAAAATGGTCCCCGGTACCACACACAATAAAAGGGTCTGGCACACTTGAGTCTCTACAATGAAGCATCATGGTTCAGTTGACTTGGTTGTCACTGGACTCCTGAAGGATGTATGTGGGAAGTGGCTCGACCGGAGGACCCCCAAGGAGGGATCTGGTATGCAGGCAGCAGAGGACCGATTAAGAAGGTTTCTTGGAAACTTCGTCTTGGTCTTTGGCCATCCCTGGTGAAAGGGCTTTACTCTGAGCTGCACTCTGGCCTAGGTCATAAAGGATTCAGACCCTGGCTCCTGACCTTAAGTTCACCCTAAGCAGGTGTTCAGTTCCCTCCTTCTATAACTCTACCCACTGTGATCCCAGAGTTGCTTGGAAAAGGCTGCCTCTCTTCTTGCCCAGGTCACAGGTTGGGAAGTGTCAGTGGGACATGGCAGAAGTGAAGCGAAGGGAAAGGTTCTTTACACCAAGTCTGGCCTCTGGGATCTAACCGGTTAAAACAGATGTGTAACTAATCCAACTATTAATCAGGTCCTGCTGATGACTTCTCGAGTCCAATGCCAGATGAAAATGCAGGGCCCCTTGTTGAAAAAGTGTTAGTAATTTCAGGATAGCAACAGCAGAGCCAAGTGAGAGCTCCTTCTAAGCTCAGGCCCTCTGTGACTGCCCAGAGGCACGCCAACGCAGCCGTCCTGAGTCTAACCACAGGTCTGGGCTGTGCCCCAGATCAACCTACAACCTCACTGCCCTCCAAGGCAATGTGCTCCTGCCCCAGCCCCAGGTCCTCTACCCGAAGCTTCAAGCTGTCCACAAGCCCTGACCCAGTTGGATGTTTTAATAACCACCTGGAGATCTGGCCGTTCCTGGCTTCTGAGAAACCTCAAAAGTTTCCCCTAACTGCACACCTCACTTCACTGCGTGACCTACTAGAGGCAGGTGGTGGCAGGGGGATAACCGGGCAAGTTCCATGTCGTGTAGAAAAGCTCCATCCCAAGGAGAGAGACCTGGCAACTTGCTTCATGCTACACCTTAAGCCGGTGGTCCTCATCCAGGCATCTGAATGTGTCTGGACCCCTCAATCAGGGTCTAGCCGAGAGCCCAGGAGTCCTGAAACCCTGCAGGCTCTGGAGCCTTTCTTCAATCAGCCACCACCAGTGCCCCCTCCCTTCTTCACCTACCTCCTGAATACTCTCTCTCTGAGGCTCTTGTCCCCTTGGGAATGCAGACGGTCCCCCTCCAGCCTAGTCTCCCTGCAGGGCCCTGAGCAGCACTGCTCAGTAGACTGTCCTTAGCAGTGTCATAGCACAGAGGCTCTGAGCTGGAAGAGCAGGCAGAAGGGTCCTGCCGGAGTGCCTTCTTAAACAGTTGCTTTGAGTTTGTGTTTTTTTATAGAACTGAGGATGGAACCCAGGGCCTTGTGTATACTAAACCACAACAACTGAGTCAACTGAGCCACCCCTTGCTGCAGTAAATATTTTTTGGTACCAGGGATTGAACCCAGGGGCACTTAACCACTGAGCCACACCCCCAGCCCTTTTTTGATTTTCAGATGAGGTCTTGCTAAGTTGCTTAGGACCTTCCTAAGTTGCTGAGGCTGGCTTTGAACTTGTAATCCTCCTGCCTCAGCCTCCAAAGCTGCTGGGATTACAGGCATGTGCCATCACACCTGGCCCCAGAAAATATTTGTTGACTTAGGGTACAGTTGAATCCTTAGCTCACATTTCCCTCTGGAATCCGTCCAGCTTCTTCTATTCCTTTTGCTTCCTACTCCCCTCCCTGCCTTTGTCCAAACTAAGTACTGGTCCATTTTTTCAGATTATTTGGTTCTACACTTCAGTGTTGGGGTTGGAACTGGGTTTCTTGTCCATAAACCAAGGACTGGCCATTCTGTGTTCCCTTCCTGCTCTTGAATTCTAAGATCACTCTGACCATTTAAACTGCCTACTTTCATCCAGGCACAGTGGTTCAGGCCTGTAATCCCAGCAATTTGGAAGGTTGAGGCACGAGGATCACAAGTTCGAGGCCAGCCTCCACAACTTAGTGAAACCCTATCTCAAAATAAAAAATGAAAAGGACTTAGGATGCAGCTCAGTGGTAGAGTGCTCTTGGGTTTATTCTCCAGTACTGCAAAAAATAAAATGAAATGCCTGCTTTTCTCAGGTGGGCTGTTAATTTTCATAAATGAAGGATACAACAGAAAAAAAAATCTAGATGGCTAAGAACTGGAAAGAAGGAGCCAGGACCTCAGGGTGGACATGCCAGGGAGCCACCTTGTTGGGAAGGTAGGTCTAGACAGGTCTAGATAGACAGACAGAAGATCCTGTCTAGAGAAGTTTTATTGGAGAAAGTACTACCTCTGGGTAGAACCAGGACCTGGGCTGGTCATGAACTATACCTCCAGCCCTGCCCTACATACCAGCCAACTGCCATAGAACAGGGGGAGGTTGGTCTAAGCCCCAGAACCTGGTTTTACCTGACCCCATCACCACCAACCATGACCTCAGTGTGATCAGAGCATCACAGACTACAAATCCAGTCCACATCACTGTCACATTTCACCCAAGAGGTGAGAAGAAGAGGAACCAAAACCAGTTCAGGCTTTTCTGGGCTTTACCTAGGGGCAGGGAAGGATCCCCCCACAGCAACCAGCTCAAAAGTCCCAGAGGAACCCAGTGGAAGGCCCAACTGCAGGGTAGCTGTAGGGGTCAGAAATGAGGGAGAGGCCTGAGGCCATCCTGGAAGGGATCAGCATTGGGGGGAATCTAGGTTCAGGCACACAGACCACAGAGATTCTGTCAGTTTCTCTTGCCTTCCTGGTGTCACAAACTGGATCTGACCCCACTCTTAGCAGGATAGCTTTTCAAAGTGGCCATGTGGGGCTGGGATTGTGGCTCAGCAGTAGAGTGCTTGTCTTGCATGTGTGAGGCACTGGGTTCTATCCTCGGCACCACATAAAAATAAATCAACAAAATAAAGGTATTTGTCCATAAAAAAAAAAAAGAAAGAAAAAAGTAGCCATGTATTTGAAATGGAGAATCAGAACACAAAAAATGAGTATTCTTTCAGGAATCGGGGGGGGGGGGGTGAAATAGTTCAAATCAACACTATCCCAGGAGATGGTTTTAAGAACTTGCTAGGAGACATGTCTGCAGGTGCTTTGCAGTCCCTAAAATGCAATCTGATATTGAGGTGCAAAGTGGGGATCCCTTTAAAGATTCAATGCAGAGGTGAAAGTAGCTTAAAGTCTCCCCCAAAACCACTGCCAGAGCAGTGCCACACTCTTAAGGGCCAAAACCCTTTGGGTAGAGAGATGAAAGAGGGGTCTGACTGCTTGCTCCTGAAAGAGGGGTAGAGAGGAAAGGAGGAGCTGGAACAAATGACCCGCAAGAGTTTCAGATGATCTTCAGAGTGTGGGCCTTCAGGAAGAAGAGTGGGGCAAGAGGTGCAAACCTACATCCACACCAGGAGCCCAATCTCACTCCTCCAGACCCCTGGGCCTTCACACGGCTGAAGAATGAAACGACAGAGGCCCTGGCTACTCCTCTCCCAGCTCTTGACTGCTGGGATGTCCATGCAGAGACACGTGTGGTCCTCATGGCCACAGCTATGATCCATCAGCTTCTGTGTGTAGATGCCTCCCTAGCCCAGGGTGACTGAGTCTTTGGAGTCTTGAGGTTGGGCCTGGGGGGGGGGGGCATGTGCTTGGTGGGTAGTCCTGTCCCCTCCTCAGGGCTGGGAAATTCACTGGTTGCAGGACAGGCTGGGGGAGAAAAGACTTCTGGTACTGAGGAGGGAAAGATCATGCTGAGAACCACTAGTCCTGGGCAAGGGATGGGAGAATCAGAATGGGAACAGGAAGCTGCGAGCTGGGAGCCGGGAGCCCAGAACAGGAGCTGGGCGCATCAGGCAGCTGAAGGCCACATCCAGTCTCCTCCTTCCCAGGGCAGGCAGGAATTTCTTCCCATGAACTTGCACTTAAACATTTGTCATTACAAGGGCTCCTTCCCAGTGTTAGACAATTTTGCCATTGGAAAGTTATCCCTCCTTTGATGGAAATTCCACCCCTTAATTTCAGCCCATTCCTCCTACCTGCCCCCCTGGAAGCTCACACCAGGGTCCATCCCTGCCTTCTTGCCCACGGGGGCTCTTTCTAATTCTTGAAGACAGCTCTCATGGACTCCAGTGTTCTCTTTCCCAGACTCTACACCCCTGGAACCTGAAAACTTCCTTCCAGGAC